AGGCCGAGGCGCTGCGGCGGGAGCTGGAGGCCAGGCCGAGAGCTGCGGACGCGGCGCGGCAGCGGGCGGAGGCCGAGGCGCAGCTGGCAGAGCTGGCAGAGCTGCGGGCCGCGCTGGCGCGCAGGGAGGCCGAGCTGGGCACGCTGCGGGAGCGGCTGCGGCAGCACGAGAAGGAGGCCCCGGCGTGGCTGCAGCGGGCGCAGGCCGAGGGCTGGGTGCCCCGGGACGAGCACGCCCGCGCCACGGCGGCACTGCAGGAGCAGGCGCGGGGCCTGCGGGAGCGCCTGGCGCAGCTGGAGGCCGCGGCCGACGCCAAGGCCCGCGAGGCCGCCCGGCTGCAGGCAGAGCTGGCGGCGGCCGTGCCGCGGGCGCAGCACGAGGCGGCCGAGGCCGGGCTGCGGGCGGAGGCGGCGGCACTGGCGCAGCGGCTGCAGGAGCTGGAGCGGCGGCACGAGAAGACGTGCGAGGAGGTGTTCCGCGTGCAGCGGCAGGCGCTGTTCATGAAGAGCGAGCGGCAGGCGGCCGAGGACAGGCTGGGCGCCGCGCAGAAGCAGCTGGAGCAGGCCCAGGACGAGGCGCGGCGGCTGCGGGAGCTCCACGGCCACGCCGAGGATGCGGCACGGCTGGTCAGGGACAGGGACAGGAAGGTAGGGGACAGGGAGTCAGGAGGGGAATAGTGGCCTCGGAGCCGTACACGTGCTGTCACTGAATTTGGGTTGGGAGGGACCTTAAATGTCTTCCCATTCCACCCCCTGCCATGGGCAAGGACACTGGCCGCCACCCCAGGGTGCTCCAAGCCCTGTCCAGCCCAGCCTCGGACACTGCTGGGGATGGGGCAGCCACAGCTGCTCGGGGTAACCCGTAACCCCTGCGCCCTGTGCAGATCACGGAGCTCTCCAAGGAGGTTTTCAGGCTGAAGGAAGCTCTGAATGCTCTCCCCGAGTCGGGGGGGCCCCCACAATCGCCGCCCAACACGGCCGCGCTCCAGGCGCGGATCCGGGCGCTGGAGGAGAAGCTGGAGGTGGGTCACCTGGAGGGTTCGGGGCTCCCCCGAGCCCCCAGCCCTGTGGCCAAACCCCCTCCCTGTGCTGCAGGAGACAGAGACGAGGCACAGCAAGGTGGTGACGCTGTACAGGAGCCACCTGCTCTATGCCGTGCAGGTCAGCTGGGGACAGCTGGGGACACCGCAGTGGGGGCTGAGCCAGGTGCCAGCCCAGGGACACGCACAGAGCCTCCCTGATGTCCCCACTCCGGTGTGCCCACCAATGTCCCCTCCACCCCAGGGCCACATGGACGAGGACGTGCAGAGGCTCCTGTGCCAAATCCTGAGGATGCAGCGGCTGCAGGAGCAGGGCAGATGAGCCCCTGCCAGCACGGGTGGCACGGGGATGGGGGGACAGGTCTGTCACAGCACCCTGTGTGTCACTTTGCTTGTCACAGCACCAAGCCCACCCCCAGCACAGCAGCAATAAAGTTATTTATAGTCACACTAATGGGGTGGCTCCTCTCTGGGGGCACCGGGGTGGGCACAGGGGGCTGTGGGGACCTGGGGGGACAGCAGGGGATCCGTGCCACCATCTCCAGCCCTGCTGTCTCTTGAGGGGAGAGGTGACCATGAAGGGAGGGAGTGGTGGCAGGGGAGAGGTGGGAGGCCTGTTGGCCAGGGCTGGAATCCCTTTCCCAAGGGCGCGGGAAGCGGCTCCATCCCCACGGGAACCAACGGCACTTCCTGCGAGGAAATGGGCTGGGAAGCGCCGGGATCCGGCGGGGACACTGCGGTCCCAGCCGGCCCTGCTGCGGTGAGCGTCTGGGGGCACTGGGATCCCCACGGGCAGTGCAGGGGGTGTTGGAGGTCTGGGTAGCCCCAAATCCAGGGAAAGCGGAGCGTGTCCCCTCTGGGGCTGAGCCAGCCCATGGCTGTGGCGGGAGGTGACGAGGGCAGGAGCTGTCCCTGTGGTGCTGGGCTTGGGGACAGCAGGAAGCTCAGCTTGGCCCCCAGGCCAGGCTTCGGGGGTCTCTGTGAGGGACAGTCCTGCCCTGGATGGATACAAACCCCTGATTCCAGGTGTGGGACTGCAGGGGTGGCTGCAGGTCCCCCTGGGAAACTGTAGGAACAGTGGGAATTTTCAGCCCCTCTCTTTCCTGGCTGTAGGGTCGGACCCCTTTGGAACCCATCCCTCTGCAGGGTGTGTGGCAGGGCCGGGGGGAAACTGAGGCACAGCAGTGTGGGGTGGTTCCAGGGTGATGTCCCCGGCCCCCTGGGGACATGTGGTGTCTGTGCTGTCCCCAGTGCTGGGTGTGCTCCTGTCCCCACAGGTGCCTGGGCAGCCCCACTGGGTCTCCTGGCATGAGGTGGCTTTGGGTCGTGGCTTTGGTGGCACCCGCCTGCACTGTCCCCTACAACGGCACGGCAGGGAGCACTGGGGATGGGGACAACGGGGACACAGGTATGGGGGACTGGGGGGACTGGGATGGAGGCTGGGGGGGTCTGGGGATCCTGGATACAGCAGGACTGGGCAGACCGGGAGTCCTGAGGCTGGAGATGGAGGGAGCAGGGATGGAAGGCCAGTGAGGGGACAATGACAGGGTCTTTAGGGAGGGACTGGGGACATTGGGGTACAGAAATGGGCACACAGGGATTGATGATGCCTGTGGTCTGGGGGCATGGGGTGACCAGGGGCACAGGTGGGGGTCTGGGGACACTGGGAATGGCATTGGGGGGCGCAGGGAGGCCAAGACCCTTCCTGATGCAGTGTCCCTGCCCCTCCGTGTCCCCGTGTGTCCCCAGGCCCCTGCACCCCTCAGCACGGCTCCCTGGGCACCCAGGTGCTGCTGCCGTGCCCGGGGGGCGCGGCCGAGTGGCGCCGGGGGGGCACCGTGCTGGGCACGTTCCCGGCCCCGGGGCTGGCCCTGCCCAACGCCAGCCTGGCCCACGAGGGCCACTACAGCTGCCACCACCCTGTCACCGGCGAGACCTGGGCCACCCTCTGCCTGCGGCTGGGCTGTGAGTGCCCCCAGCCCTGCTGTGACCCCCCTGGCCGGGGGTCCCTGAGGGTGCTGGCAGTGGGGTGACCCCTGTCCCCTCTCCCCTGTCCCAGACCCGCCCCTGCCACCGGCCATCGAGTGCTGGGCCACCAGCTACCCCCAGGCCGTGAACTGCTCCTGGGGGCTGAGCCCCAATCCCCGGCTGGACACCGACTTTGTGGCCACCTACAGGTCAGTGGGGGTCCCCAGAGCCTCTCCCCGTGTCCCCCAGCCCTTGGCAGCTGTCCCTGTGTCCCCAGGCACGGCACGGACACAGGGGAGTGCAGCCTCACGGGCCCGCGGAGCTGCTCCTTCGGGGACCTGCAGGTGTTTTCCCTCACTCCCTACGAGCTGAACGTGACAGCCCGGAACCCCCTGGGAGCTGCCTCCGGAGCGCTGTCCTTCCTCCTGGAGAACATCAGTGAGTGCTGCGGCGTGGGGGACACCGGGGTCTCACCCTCTGGGGCTCTGCCCTCCTCGGGATGTGGGATCATCACTGCAGCGACTTGCTGGGGTTCAGACCATCCCTGCACAGCTCACAGGGACACGACAATCCCATGCTGGATCCTGCAGCCACAATGTCCTCCCTTGGTCTGAAAATGAAGGAAAGTGATTTTTCCAGGCAGTGGTGGGACAAGAGGGTTGGTTTTAATCTAAAGGAGGATTTAGATGGGATATTGGAAAAAATTCTTCCCTGTGAGAGTGGTGAGGCCCTGGAATGGGATTCCCAGAGAAGCTGTGCCTGCCCCTGGATCCCTGGAAGCATCCAAGGCCAGGCTGGACAGGACTTGGAGCAGCCTGGGACGGTGGAAGGTGGGATGAGATGATCCTCAGGGTCCCTTCCTGCCCAAACCATCCTGGAATTCTCTCATTCCTTGTGTCCCCAGTAAAGCCGGATCCCCCCGAGGCCCTGCGGGTCTCCCCCATCCCTGGGGAGCCCCAGAAGCTGCTGCTGGAGTGGAACCCTCCATCATCCTGGCCATTCCCGGAGTATTTCCCGCTCCAGTACCGCATCCGCTACTCCCGGGACAACAACTCCGTCCCCACCACGGTACTGCCACCCCCCCCGGGTAAACTGAGGCACGGCTGCGGCTGTGCCTGGCGTGTCCCTGTCCCTGACCCCACTGTGCCCAGGTGGGGCCATACGAGCTGACGTCCCACACGCTGACGGACCTGGAGCCCGGCAGCCTCCACCACATCCAGGTGGCCGCCAAGGACCTCTCGGACTGCGGGGAATTCAGCGCCTGGAGCGCGCCGGCCTCGGGGACACCCTGGCTGGGGCTGTGACAGCCAGGCAGCGCCGCTGTCCCCATGCCAGGCCTGCTGCTGTCCCTTGTCCCACGCCAGCAGCGCGGAGCCACCAGGGCTGCCAGGAACGGGCAATAAAAGGCCTTGAGGCTTCGTCCCTCTTCTAACTGGGGTGTTTGTGATGGCTGAGCTGCCCCTGGGGTGGGTCCGTTCACTGCCCTCAGGGCCGGTCGCTTTGCTGTTCCAGAACAACCCCTTTGTTTTCCTGCTTTTGACCCTTTTTTGCCCTTGGGGTCTGTTCCTTTTCTGCCCCTTCGCCCTCCGCCCCGCCCCGTCCCTCAGCGCCCACAGCAGGCTGGAAGGCTGGGCGGCCATGTCGGACGTGCGCTGCGGCGGGGGGAGTGCCGACATTAACGAGGGGCGCCTGTTCCCTGCGCGGCGCTCCCCGGGCCGAGACGGCCGCAGCCTCGGGGAGCCCCGGGACTCACGGGCCTCACACCGGAGCCCCGGGGCTCACACCGGAGCCGCGGAGAGTTCCACACCTCACACCGGAGCCCGGTGGCCATTACAGACCCCCCCCCCGCCGTGCCCCCTGATGGTCCCGTCCGTCGCTGCCTTCCCGCGCTCCAGCGGGGAGGGCAGCGCATGCGCAGCGAGGCTCGCGGGCGGTGGCGCCCCCGCCTGGTTCCGGCGCGTCCCGCCGCCCCTGCGCGCCGGCCCGGGCGACCCCGGGGCTCAGTCCCTGAGGGCCGGGCGGATGGCGGGAAAGGGCGGCAGGTATGGAGGGGTTTGGGTGCGAAACGGACCCTAAAGATCGTCCTGGGCCACCCCTGCCACGAGCAGAGACACCTTCCACTGCCCCATGCTGCTCCAAGTCTCGTCCAGCCTTGGCATCCAGGGGCACATGGATTCTTGGACACTGCCAGGGATCCAGGGGCAGCCCCAGCTGCTCTGGGCACCTTGTGCCAGGGCCTCAGCACCCTCTCAGGGGGGAATTCCTTCCCAATATCCCATCTCTGGGATTTGATGGGGACCTAGACATAGGTCTGCCACATTCCAGAGAGCACCGAGGCCTTTCCCAAGCTTTACCCGGCTTTGTGCCCTCCAGATTTTCTTCCCTGAGCTCTCCTGGGCTCTGCAAGCACTTTCTGTCCTCAAAGAGGAAAAAGGGCTGGTTCGTCCCATCCTGTGAAATCCCACCTCTCTCCAGCTGATGGCACGATTGGGAGCGTGTGGAGCCGAGCTTTTTCCCAGGAAGACAGACAGCCTGTTGGACAAAATCCCAGTTTTCCATCTCAGGTATCCGAGACGGCGCAGCCTCACACCCAGCCTGGAATGAGAGCAGGGAAGAACCTGGTTCTTATAAAATGAGAAAATAAATACGAGTCACCAGGTCAGGGATGGGACCCGAGTTATCTGCGGGATGAGCAGCTGGCAGTTGGAGCTTCCAAAGGATTTCCAGCCCCGGGAATAGGCTCCCACCAGCAGGAGTTAATGGGATGTCAGTCCACAGGAGAGCTTCCTTCCATGGGACATGTGGGATGGAGGCAATGATCCCTGCAGGCTTCCAGCTCCTCCTGTGTCTGCCTTCCAGCTGCGTAACCTTCCAAACACACAGCAAAGGGAAAATCCCTGGGAAAGTGGCGGCTGCCTTCGGCCTCACGCTGGCAGTCGGCTCTGGAGTGTCCATTCCGTGGTCCCAAAGCAGCTGGCCGGCACACCTGGGCTGTCCTGGGATGATCCTGGGGTGATCCTATAACCCAAACAGCCTCGGGGGTGTCTGGAGTGAAATGGGGGGTCTGGGATCGGCCCTGTGGAGCAGCTGCTGGCTCGGGAATGCAGCTTTGCAAGGCAAAAGTGGATTTAAATGAAGGGGACAAATTTCCCCTCCTGGTTGTCTCGGTAGTTTGTGGATTTTGCTGTGTGAGCAAGAAAAAACAATAAATTATACTGCTTATTTCAGGGAGGCAGAATTGCTTAACACTTAAAACCAGGACCAATTACTTTTTCTTCCTGGCTCCATCTCATCACATCTGACCTTAGGAAGGACGTCAGCTCTCCTGCAAAATTCCCATATTTTAGGGTGACAATAATCACTCAGTCCTCCCAGGGAGTGGGACGGGTCAATATTAAAAAAAGGTGTTTAAGCTTTTTGTTGGTTCAGATTTTCCTAAAGCTGCTGCTGCACTGTAAAATCAGTTTAAAGCAGCAGAAATTCTGCATTCTTTCTAAAACATGATGGCAGATTCCTGAGAGCTTTTCCAGGATGGTTCCTGTGCCATTTGTGTTTGTTTTGTCCTTTTGATTTTGGATTCTGATTTCAAAATGGCCTTGGCAGGACAGGTTCAGTCGGTACCTGGCAGCTCTCAGATCTCACAGAGGTTTCTCCATCATTTATGTTCAGATTCTGGGGCTGTCTCAGTAACCAAAAGACACTTTTGATTAATTTATTTCCGTAGTAATTTGCATTTCCAGGACAAGACGGGAGCTGTGTTGGAACACGGGAACAGACACAGGTACACCCCAAACCTCTCGGCCAAGGAAACCCTGGAGCAGTGTCACAAGAGCCTTTTCCAGCTGCTGTCCCTGATCCCTGGGTAGGCTGGGAAGGGAATCTATGACAGCACAGGAGCTTTTTTTACTCCTGTAATGTGACTTCCCTGACTTTCCTGTGCCAGCAGCACAGGGGTGTGTAAGTCAAGCCATGATTTGGGAGGAAAGGAGCCTGCACACCCTGACTTTCATGGGTGGAGAGCTTGGCAATCCTCACTCAGACCCTTTCCAGCCTGGGGTTTTGGCCTCAGGAGAAGGGCCCTGCTGGGGAGCTGCCCCTAAAACCTTCTCTGCATTTTCTTGCACCTTCCCAAGGCTCCTGGGTTTAGTCTGGGGCTTGTTCTACCTCAGCACTGGGGAACTTCACAATCACAGAGCTCCTGAGTGGCCCCTCCGTGCCAGGCAAAGGGGCTCTGCTGCTTCCCTCCTTCCCTTTACAGCCCCTCCGGGTGCAGTGAAACTGCTGATTCCCATTTAAGGGATAATGCTGGGCACTAACAAGCTCGCCTCCCTTTTAAAAGCCAGTGCTGGTCTCAGGAGATCTAATTTAGGAACACGTGGAAGGCCAGAGTGTCCTCCAGGGCTCCGAGGTGGGAGCTGCTCCGTGAGGAGCTCCAGCGTGGTTGGCTGCCAGAGCCTGGAGTATTTTTATCCATATCCAAGCTGCCAGAGGCTCCTGGCCCCACCTGAGCATAGTGCAGGACAGACTCACCTTTGCAGCAGGCGTTTGTTCTCCCAGGGACTGGCAGCAGGATTCTGTGGGAATTCCTGTTTGTCCTTTGCCATGGGTTTGATCTTTCCCAAAGGTTTTGGGAGAGGATGGCAGAGCTCTCCAGAACTCATCCCGTGATGTCAAACTGGCCCAGCAGAGACATGGATGAATTCGTGAGAGCAAAGCAGAAACATTCTGCTGAAATACAAAGGGAGAAGACCTCGTTCCCAACATGTGGCAGTGTTTGGATGAGGGAAGGTGTTTCTCGGATATAGAGAAATAAATATTGGAGAGGGATGTTGGACAATGACCTGGAGTGCCAGGACACAGGGAATGGCTTCCCACTGCCAGAGGGCAGGGATAGATGGGATATTGGGATGGAATTCCTCTCTTTGAGGGTGCGGAGGCCCTGGTGCAGGGTGCCTGGAAGTGTCCAGGGCCAGGTTGGATGAGGCTTGGAGTCACCTGGGACAGTGGAAGGTGTCCCTGCCCATGGCAGGGGTGGCACTGGATGGATTTAAGGTCCCTTCCAACCCAAACCATCTTGGGATTCTTGATTCTATAAACCTGTGTTCCTAACAAGGACAGAACCACCCCCCAAAGTCAGAACCCCCCAAGATGGTGACATCCAGCCCCAGGAATGCCATGGTGATGGGAGTGACAGGAAAGAATGGGGTCCTGGGTGTCCAGAGACGAGCAGGAGACATGAAAGCAGCCAGCTTCACCCTGGTCAATATGGTCTGCTTTAAACTCTGTTTTTACTTCAGATTTGGGCTGCCAATAACTCCTTCAAACAATGATCTAATGCCTGTGTGAATGTTTGTAAAACCTCACTGCTCTGGCAGGTTGAGCTCTTGCCAAGAAGCAATCGCATGTAATTAGGGAGAAGGAGTTGGAATCTCCTGGCCTTGGAGCACAGCACATTTTCCAGTTGTGTTTGTCCCATTTGGACCACCTCATTCCTGGGGTGTGCTCCGAGCTGGAGTTTGTGGGACACACTCCTGTCCCCAGGGGAATCTCGGTGGGAAGCAGTGCCAGAAACCTGCTGGAAAACACGAGGTACCTGTGCTGGACAGGGTGACAAGGACAGAACCTGGCACGGGCAGAGCCACAAATGAGATTTTGGGTGCTCAATTCCCTCCGCTTTTCCTGCTCTGCAGGAGATTCCTGAGGAGGCTTTTCAGGCACGTTGAGTCTTGAATGGGAGCTGGGAGCATGGAGAAGCTCCGAGCTTTTGAGGGACACCTGGAAAAACCCTTTCCCTGGAGAACAGGGACAGTCTCAATCTGCTGTGGGATTGGAGAAGTTCAACTGTTCAAAAAGCCCTGGAATAGTTTGGATTGCAGGAATCCTTAAAGGACTTTAGTGCAGCCCCTGTTAAATAGTTGCTACTCACAAAATGAGAAGTTCCCAGTGGGAAATTAGAGCCTGTCCAGGACAGTAGATCCCAGAAAAGGAATGAGGCATCCTTTGCCCACACAGAGTTTAAACCTCATTCCCCACTCTCTCACCTGGCACCTGAGACCCCAAAGGACATTTCCAAGCAAATCCAAGGAAATTTTGACATGGGAAGTTTGGTGAGAAAACCCTTCTTGAAATTCCTGGAGCATCCTGAAATTCCCTCACTCTCTTTTCCAGTTCTGGAGAACCAGGCCTGTTGTGCAGCTCCTGGAGTGTTGTCCTGAAACAACAGAAGGTCAGGGACACGCAGGTCAGGTCCTGTGGGACAAGGAGCTGTTATTTATGGAAGGAATTTTTTCCTGAATGTGAGAGAGGAGAGGTGGATTCTGCTTCCCGTTGGAGTTTGAAATCCTAAATTCTAGCCAAGAGACATCACATAAACTCGTGCTGAAGAACCTGACCTAGTTGGAATAATTGGAGGTAATTGTCAGCTCTTTCCAGATGACAAAACCCTTAATCACCAGCAGATGCTCAGCCAACCTCACAAAAAAGGCTGGAAACCCGGGCTGAATGGGGAGGAATTGCTGTCCCAAGGCACCAAGTTTCAGGAATGGGCAGGAATCTTCCTTAGGGGTTTTTCCAATACATGATCAGAGTGGGGCAGTGGTTTGTGCTCATGGCCTGGGCATCTCTGCAGAAATCTGGAATTGTGCCACAAGTGACGCTGGAATATCTGAGAACAATTGGAGATGGAGCAACTCCAAAATGAGGAGCTGCAAGGTTGGGCTGCTCCATGGGTTCCTGTCCCAGATCTGTGAATCCAGACTCTCAGATCCCTGAGCTAGCCTCGGGTTTCCTAAAGTTTGGGATGAGTTGGATGTGAGGTGCTGCATTCCCACAGAGATGCAGGAGTTGCCTTGGGTTTCACCTGGGAGCTCCCTGCAAGTTGGCAAAGCCCTGAAGAGAGGAGATGGGATCTGATGGGGGTGAGGATGATGAAGGAAGAGTGGGATACTTGGCACTGCCTAGGATATCCCAGTCCCAGCTGTGCTCCTGCACAAGTAGAAATAGTTCTAGAAGTGTCTGTCCTCACCACACAATTAACCTGGATTGCTAATTAGTCATGGAATTGTAGAACCATGGGGTGTCCTGAGCTGGGAGGGATCCACAAGGATCAGAGTCGAGCTCCTGGCCCTGCACAGACACCCCAACAATCCCACCCTGTGCCTGAAGCGTTGTCCAAACACTCCTGGAGCTCTGGCAGCCTTGGGAATGTGACCATTCCCTGGCCAGAGCACTTGCAAATTCCAGGAACCAGGGTTTGCAGAGGTGTTTTTCCTTGTACAATGAGATGGCGAAAGCATAGGAAAACTGGGAACCTCTGGAAGTGGTCAGAGCAAGGAGCTGCCCTTGTGCCCAGGCAGAGGCTGTGACAGCTGGACTTTAATTACCCAGTGCTGTAATGAGGTTTTGGGAGGCTCTGGAGTGGCTCTCAGCACATTTGGTGTTTTACAGCCACGGGGATTCATCCCTTCCCGTACAGCCTCCTGCAGTGGGACCAATAACCAGGGATCCTGCCTGGAAACCAACAGCTCCCCTGGGAATGTCTGGGACAAGACTCATTGCAGGCTGTTTGAAGTGGGCAGTAATGTGGAAACAGTGACAGCAGCACCGTTCCCATCAACCAGGGGTCTCCCATGGGGGCAGGGGCTCTGCAGCCCTAAAAGGGGGGAACATGAACCACCACACCTTTGGGAAGAGCTCGGTGTGCCCAGGATGGGTGTGCAGGGCTGGGCTGTGCTCCCTTCCTGGGGTGGAGCTGCTGGTCCAAGGGATGGAGCTGCTGGTCCAAGGGATGGAGCTGCTGGCCCAGGGGATGGAGCTGCTGGTCCAAGGGATGAAGCTGCTGGCCCAGGGGATGGAGCTGCTGGTCCAAGGGATGGAGCTGCTGGCCCAAGGGATGGAGCTGCTGGCCCAGGGGATGGAGCTGCTGGTCCAAGGGATGGAGCTGCTGGCCCAGGGGAGGCTGGTTGGGGGCCATGACCTCCTGTTGGAGCACTCCAGTCCGACAGAACTCAGCAGCTGCATGAACTGGTTGTGGCCTCAAGCAAAGGCCATTCCTCCGCCGCTGGCTCCTGCCAGATGATCCCAGCCCAGGCTCAGGGCCTCACGTCCCCTCTCAGCTCTGCTTTTCATGTCTCTCCCCAAAAAAAGGCCTGGGCCAGTGCCAGGCTCCAGCAAACCCTTTGGAGCAGTCCCCCAGCTCTGGCAGGTCACCGGTGCTGGAACCAACCCCACGTCCTGCCTCTGCAGCCCAGACATCCTCCTCGGCTCTCCCTGCCAGCTCTGGAATGAGAAATGGCTCTGCTCTCCTGTCTGCTTCCATTCGAATCCCTCTAGGAAAGAGCTCGTGTTCTCCAGCTCCGTGCTGCTGAAATTAGCGCTGGCATCCTGCAGGATTCCAGCCTCGACTCGCGCCTCCAGGAGTGGGAAGAGCTGCCGAGACTGCGGAGACAAGCTGGATGTGAGAGCCAAGTGTCCAAAAGAACACGTTCAGGAACAACACAGTGAGCAGGGGGTGCTCCAGCACGGCAGGGAAATCATCCTGCTGAGGATAAAACTCCCCCCCAAAAAAAGTGTTCTTGGGCAGCCAGGAAGGGTTAAACCATGGCACGAGGTTTGGGACAGCTGCAGGATGCTGGAGTGGGCACGGGGATTGGAACCAGGATGATGGTCTTAGGTCACTCACAAAGCTTTCTAATTAGGCTTTTTTGGGGAGGGGGAAAAAAGAAAAAAATGGTGTGTTTGATTCTGTAAGTGCTGAACATTCCACAATTGCTGTGTTTAATAAATACAGCGGGGGCTCCTAGGAGACTGAATGGGGCTGAATGAATGAAGTATGTGAGACATCTGAAACCTATTAGTTGGAGCAAACTGGTGGAGAGGCAGGAATTCTTCTCTTTTTAAAAATATTTATACATTTTCCTTTCATGTCAAGCCAACATCTTATTTGGGGTTATGTTCCAGTGGAAGGAAAGGTGTGTCGGGGGGAAATGCAGGGGGAGGGGAGGTGCAGATTTGGGTCAGGCCCAAAAGGAACAGAAGGGCTGGGTGGCTTTAGGACCATATTTTCCTTTTGGAATTGAAGCCAGCACATTGATCCATCAGGGGATTTTGCCCCAACCTTGATGGGGATGTGTATTTTGGGATTTGGTTCATTTTGAAGTGTTTTGGGGAGCTTGTCCCACCTGGAGCCCCTTGCTTGAGGCACCAGAACTCTCCAAACGAGGTTTATGGAGCCATGGATCTGGTTTAACCTGGTTTGGAGATTTAGGCTGAATTAGAACACACATCCAGTGTCTTCCCCACCCCATGGACAGCTCCAGGTGATCCCACCAGTGTCCAGGAGCAGTGGGAATGATGCCACATTCCAGAGGTTTCCACNGGGATGGAGCTGCTGGCCCAGGGGAGGCTGGTTGGGGGCCATGACCTCCTGTTGGAGCACTCCAGTCCGACAGAACTCAGCAGCTGCATGAACTGGTTGTGGCCTCAAGCAAAGGCCATTCCTCCGCCGCTGGCTCCTGCCAGATGATCCCAGCCCAGGCTCAGGGCCTCACGTCCCCTCTCAGCTCTGCTTTTCATGTGTCTCTCCCCAAAAAAAGGCCTGGGCCAGTGCCAGGCTCCAGCAAACCCTTTGGAGCAGTCCCCCAGCTCTGGCAGGTCACCGGTGCTGGAACCAACCCCACGTCCTGCCTCTGCAGCCCAGACATCCTCCTCGGCTCTCCCTGCCAGCTCTGGAATGAGAAATGGCTCTGCTCTCCTGTCTGCTTCCATTCGAATCCCTCTAGGAAAGAGCTCGTGTTCTCCAGCTCCGTGCTGCTGAAATTAGCGCTGGCATCCTGCAGGATTCCAGCCTCGACTCGCGCCTCCAGGAGTGGGAAGAGCTGCCGAGACTGCGGAGACAAGCTGGATGTGAGAGCCAAGTGTCCAAAAGAACACGTTCAGGAACAACACAGTGAGCAGGGGGTGCTCCAGCACGGCAGGGAAATCATCCTGCTGAGGATAAAACTCCCCCCCAAAAAAAGTGTTCTTGGGCAGCCAGGAAGGGTTAAACCATGGCACGAGGTTTGGGACAGCTGCAGGATGCTGGAGTGGGCACGGGGATTGGAACCAGGATGATGGTCTTAGGTCACTCACAAAGCTTTCTAATTAGGCTTTTTTGGGGAGGGGGAAAAAAGAAAAAAATGGTGTGTTTGATTCTGTAAGTGCTGAACATTCCACAATTGCTGTGTTTAATAAATACAGCGGGGGCTCCTAGGAGACTGAATGGGGCTGAATGAATGAAGTATGTGAGACATCTGAAACCTATTAGTTGGAGCAAACTGGTGGAGAGGCAGGAATTCTTCTCTTTTTAAAAATATTTATACATTTTCCTTTCATGTCAAGCCAACATCTTATTTGGGGTTATGTTCCAGTGGAAGGAAAGGTGTGTCGGGGGGAAATGCAGGGGGAGGGGAGGTGCAGATTTGGGTCAGGCCCAAAAGGAACAGAAGGGCTGGGTGGCTTTAGGACCATATTTTCCTTTTGGAATTGAAGCCAGCACATTGATCCATCAGGGGATTTTGCCCCAACCTTGATGGGGATGTGTATTTTGGGATTTGGTTCATTTTGAAGTGTTTTGGGGAGCTTGTCCCACCTGGAGCCCCTTGCTTGAGGCACCAGAACTCTCCAAACGAGGTTTATGGAGCCATGGATCTGGTTTAACCTGGTTTGGAGATTTAGGCTGAATTAGAACACACATCCAGTGTCTTCCCCACCCCATGGACAGCTCCAGGTGATCCCACCAGTGTCCAGGAGCAGTGGGAATGATGCCACATTCCAGAGGTTTCCACACAGGCTTCTCCTTGTGCAGAATTACCTCACTGACTTGGGAAAATAGGGAAAAATAGAGATTGGGATGGGAAGAACACAGAACATTCCTCCAGGGAATAAGCAGAGCTAACAACTCTTCAGGAGCCACTTCACCTGTAGGGAAGTCTCTGGAAAGGGAGAAAAAGAGTGACAACACCCAGCTCCAGTCTGGGCAGATCATTCCGAATGGAGCCTGAATTTCCTGCTGGAAACTGTGATTATTTCCTCCTAGTAGCTGTGGTTATTTCCTGCTGGAAACTGTGGTTATTTCCTGCTGGAAACTGTGATTATTTCCTCCTAGTAGCTGTGGTTATTTCCTGCTGGAAACTGTGGTTATTTCCTGCTGGGAGCTCTGGTTAT